CACCCCAGCACTTCATGGCATGAACATGACATGTATGAAAGTAGCATCATCACTGTAAAAACTGTCTCATTCAAAGCTTTGGCTACAATAAGGAGATATACATAAAATAATAGAAGAACACTAGTTTGTGGGTTAAATCTTACGAAATAAAATTTGCAAAGGAAAATAAATGTTGTATGTATGCATCTATATAGATATACACACAATACAAATTATATTGGAGAATTGAGGGAGGAGATACCACTACATTGTTAGGTCCAGCAGAGATGAAGTGGATATTCAATTTAAATACATTACCACCAACAGGTCTAATCATAGATTTTTGAATTGTGCCATTTTCTCCTAGTTAATTATGCGCGGTATATCTATATGGAGCACATATATAAAATATCTTTCCTTGCAAAATTCTTGATAGATTTAACCTAATGTTTATCTATGTATATCTCCTTATTTTTGCCTGTCATGTATTATCTTTTATGACATAACTATGCAATATTTAATATTTATGTTTATTTTATATAGCCATTTTTAAAAGGATTTATATGTGGCCAATTTGTAATTAAAGTGTTTTAATCTGATTATAATGCTCTTTCCCCCGTTTCTTCCTTCAATTTCCCTTCCTCTGCCCATATATAAAATGGACTCTGCAACACCATATGATTGCACGTACGTACACCATTGGCCTAATTATAAACATATGGGGAAGAGAGTTAGATCCCCCATGAATTGATAGAAGTGATTTATTGCAGAAAGCCGCAACGTCACTTCCACCTGGAAGAAGATCAGAGAGGACTGGCGTGGGAAGCTGGAAGGCCCGCACGGGAAGTGACGTATGGCGGCTATATGCAACGTCACAGGCCGTCAGAAAGAGGACACAGGAGTTGATAATTAGAGACAGAGAACGCCCAATCAGGGCATACCCACGTGACTGGGAGGGAGGCCGGGCGCCAAGGTTTAAATACAAGTTAGAAGCATACAACACACATAGCTGACTGAGGAAGCTTTTTATAAGCGAAATAAACCATCTAAGACCAAGTGTTAATATTTGATTTATTATTTTTTAACATTTGTTTTATTAATAATTTTTTTTGAGTAAGATTCACTTTTATGACCAGCCTCTGCTGCTTCTACATTTACCTACAGGTGTTGTTTTACCCCATAAATTGACACCAAGCCTTCCAACCTCAGAGTCAGGGGTTTAACGCTCCAGGTGAGCTTAACTTTGAATTAAATTATAAATTAACAAGCTTCATACTTCATACAAGCTACAGCAGACTAGACGGGCCGAATGGTTCTTATCTGCCGTCACATTCTATGTTTCTATGTAATGTTATATCCTCCTATATAATTAATAAGTGGTAAGCAAATTGCATGCTTTTTTATATGTAATATTGTTGTAAGCTCTCCACTATATATATATATATATATATATACACACACACCTAAAAACCTGAAAGAAAGATTTTTAGAAAAAGGATATCCTGCAAAATTATTGGGAGAAGCCATGAATAAAGCAATAACCACCCCAAGAGAAGATACACGATGTAAGAAAATGTCCACTACGGAACCACATCCCACTGCACCTGCCTTTATTACGAAATATAACCACCAATCCCTAACAATACAGAAGATTTTGAAGAAGCACTGGGGGATTCTCAAAAACGACCTAACCCTCTCCAAACTCCTTGATCACCAACCACAAATTATTTTCACTAGGGCACCCAATCTCCAACTTATGCTGGCACCCACTATCAAATCCTCAAATACTACCACAGACCAAGATTCCACTCATGGCTTCACAAGATGCAAGAATTGAACAATCCATCCATGGAACAAGTAACCACGAGATTTTCATCGTCTTTAACTTGAAGAGTAATATGAATTGCAATACTTCGGGGGTCATTTACCTTATAACATGCCCATGTCCAAAACAATACATTGGATGTACAAAAAGACCACTAAAAGTACGAATTGCGGAGCATATTAGGAATGTTTAAAAAGGACTGCTAACACATAACCTCTCCAAACACTTTAACCCCTTAAGGACACATGACGTGTGACATGTCATGATTCCCTTTTATTCCAGAAGTTTGGTCCTTAAGGGGTTAAAGAACTACATGGGGGAGACTCCAGAGGACTCGAGTGTATATCAATAGATAAGGTAAATGTCCATTGGAGAGGAGGCAGCATTGACAGCACTCGATCAAACAGAAGCAAAGTGGATTTTCCAATTAGACACTATAGCCCCTAAAGGACTCAACATAGATTTTGAGCTACATAAATTTTTATAGATCCCTTTCCTCCTTTATGTTCCCTCCTTCACCCTTCAGCCATGCAATTACTCACATTTGTACTTGTACCTCATAAGATTTATTTAATGTGCAGTACCATCTATGCCAGGGGTAGGCAACCTACGGCACTCAAGGTGTCTTTGCACGGCACTCAAAGCTGCTAAAGCTGCTGAATGCAGTGTGTGTGTTAGTGCAGTGGATGCAGTGTGTGTGTTAGTGTAGTGAATGCAGTGTGTGTGTTAGTGTAGTGGATGCAGTGTGTGTGTTGGTGTAGTGAATGCAGTGTGTGTGTTAGTGCAGTGGATGCAGTGTGTGTGTTGGTGTAGTGAATGCAGTGTGTGTGTTAGTGTAGTGAATGCTGTGTGTGTGTGTGTTTAGTAGTGTATGCATGTAATAACTGTTATTCCCCCCTCCCTGTTTCTTACCTGGTTCAGGGAGGGGGGAAGATTCCATGATCCCTGGTGGTCCGGTGGCATTGTGGGTCCCCCCGGCTCCCTATACTTGCAGAGGGGGCCCAGCGGCTGCACCTATATATAGCGATCATCGCTATATATAGGTGTAGAGAGTAATTGTGGGGCCCTGGACTGCCAAAGCAGTCCGGGCCTCCCAGGACCGCCAGGCCCGTGACAACCGTCATGGTTTTCACCCCCTGATGGCGGCCCTGGCGCTAACATATGTATTTTATCTACTTTACTTTTAGATTGGACCACCTATATGACAACAAATATTTAACATTTAATTACTGTCGCTTCTTCTTGTATTATACAAATATTTTACCATTGTGGGGGCTCTGTATGTGTGTATATGTATATATATATATATATAAACACACATGTATATATTATTCTAATTTCTCGACAATTTGTGAAAACAACCAGACGACCCCTTCAATGCATCTTAATAGTATTTGTAAACTGTTTTATTGAAATATTGTCCTGACCGGATATCGCTCCGAACAAATTCTGTTAGAACTTTATAATAATTTCTTATAATCTTTTGCATATAATAATTCCATTCCAACTAAATTTCACACCACGATATGTTACATCATACAATTGCCTAATAACTTGTTACGAAATCTGTTTTTTCTTTTACCCGAACATAAAATTGCAGTTCACACACTGTATTGTTACAATTAGGTCCTTTTTTCCTTTTATCTCTTTTTATACCCCAATATGTAATGGCACTAAAGAATTTCTGTCCGAGGTATATGTTTGTACCATCATATATGAATATATATATATATAGAATTGTATGAACTATTCGTTTTTATTCAAGCTTCGACGTCATAATATCAGATTGTGAATATAATGACATTTTTATTAACAATTAGCACAATGTATATTTAAAGAAAGATTGTAGCAATGATCCTCATCCCATCTCTGAAGAAATAGGGCGCTTCCCTACGAAATGCGTAAGACAATACGATCAATCAAGATACAGATCCTGTCAGTATACACCAGCACAAGATTACATCCATCCAGGACCTTTGATTAAAGGGACACTATAGTCACCTGAACAACTTTAGCTTAATGAAGCAGTTTTGGTGTATAGAACATGCCCCAGCAGCCTCACTGCTCAATCCTCTGCCATTTAGGAGTTAAATCCCTTTGTTTATGAACCCTAGTCACACCTCCCTGCATGTGACTTGCACAGCCTTCCATAAACACTTCCTGTAAAGAGAGCCCTATTTAGGCTTTCTTTATTGCAAGTTCTGTTTAATTAAGATTTTCTTATCCCCTGCTATGTTAATAGCTTGCTAGACCCTGCAAGAGCCTCCTGTATGTGATTAAAGTTCAATTTAGAGATTGAGATACAATTATTTAAGGTAAATTACATCGGTTTGAAAGTGAAACCAGTTTTTTTTTTTTTCATGCAGGCTCTGTCAATCATAGCCAGGGGAGGTGTGGCTAGGGCTGCATAAACAGAAACAAAGGGATTTAACTCCTAAATGACAGTGAATTGAGCAGTGAAATTGCAGGGGAATGATCTATACACTAAAACCGCTTTATTTAGCTAAAGTAATTTAGGTGACTATAGTGTTCCTTTAACCAGTGAACCGAGAACTGAGGTCTTTGCCGGGACGTACACACCGACCCACACGTCGCCCTCACCGGCAGTCGGATTCCAGGAGGCAATTTGCCAGTACAATCTGCATCCATCCTAGCTCAATGCGAGGGTCCATGGACATCTTTCACCTTTATACTGTCCTGTATTTTTTATATATTTTTAATCTTTTATAAATGTGTTTAATAAACCGTTTTTAAATTACATATCCAGTTTTTACCTTCCTTTTACCATTGTCTACAATCCACAGCGATACATTGTGTGTTTTGCTACAGCATGCAGTTCCATATACTGTATTGCTAATCATCTAAGAGTGCTTACTATCTTTGCCTATTGCAAAGTATAGAATTTGGAGCAAAGATCAGCTACCCTGTATATGATCAGGGATAGAGAGATTTTGCACTGCACATATATTTGCTGCACATCGATTCATGCAGTTAACTATCTTTTTTATATAATTCTTTTCCTGTCTGTTTTCTAATCTGTCCTTTATCCATCTTCCTTTCTATCATTTTTACTCCATTTCACTCTGTTACATTTTTATTCTCTTCCAAGTCTCATATTTATTATCGATTCTTGTTTTTCTCTCTTAAAGGCACAGTACCTCTATAGTACACTTAGTACCGTATTATCAGTATCTACCGCTATTACCCTGTACCACTGTGATTTGAGCCATTATCACTAGTCAGCTCCTGGATTTTATACACCATCCTTTTGAGTGTTTCATTTGCTACACCTAAAAACCTATATTACATTGTGTTATGCAATTTTAGAGGTGTGGAGAAGAGGTATTCCCACATAAGTGGGGTTTTTTTTTAGCTGCTTTTATGCACAAGTTTTTTTAAGCGCTGATCGACAGACATGCTCCCTCATTACGAGGATCACCTGCTTGTTTTCAAACAGTGCAATTTCCGTAAAGACAACAGGCCTCAGTTTAATGTTTTGGGGATAAGCTTTTCAAGTCATTTTATATTTTTGGATACACTTAAAATGTTTTAATATATTGCTGTATTGATATATTTTTTTATGTATGATTATAATGTTAATATTTTGATATAAAAAAATAAATAAGACATTGATATAATCAAGGCCATAATGGATTCCTGACACTATTGACCTTTCTACTCGTGAGAAGACATCTGATGTATCAGGACTCAGATTCTATTTATCAAACACCAGAGGCTGTAATTACACCATTAGGACGCATGTTATCTAGAAGTCTACCTTCCCCTGTGTTGTTATATTCACATTACTTCCATGGAACATTCCAGCTGCATTCTGTTAGTACCGTTATTCCATCTGGAAGCGTACATCTCTCTGGAAGCTTCTGATGGAACACAAAGTATTAGCTAAACATGTGAAAACGAGGGAAAATGTGTTTTTCAGTTTTGTTTCATTTCAGTAATTCCAAAATTTCTTTAGTTGAGAATGATTTATTATCAATTTGGAACAACCCGAAATTTGTTTGGAACTTTTCAGAAATTTGGAGTTTGGACGTCATTTCCTATAAGTCGCTATTTAGCAGATGGCTCCCTTTATTCGGTACCTTAATGTGAGAATGCCTATTTAAGGGTATCAAATTAAGACCTACGTTTAGATTTTTGGGGGGAAATTAGTTTTTTGTCCGGGACATGACAATTGCTGCCCTCTGTTCACTTTTCCATGTCTAACACTACAGCAACAAATCAATTAAAAAATAAAAATAAAAAATTTATATATACACACACACACACACACACACACACACTCAACAGACAGGACCCATCTACTAGACAGCACCGTAATTTGGTATCCCAAGTAGAGGAACCCCATATCAGACTACCAAATTAGGAAAGCCATCTGCTAATCAACTGAAAGAACAAAAATAAGAAACTGATTTTTTTCAAATTTGCTCATTCATTCGCTTAGTAGATAAGTCCCTAATTCAGTACCCATAATTACGGCAATACCAAATTAGGGAGCTATCTACTAAACAGCTTAAAAATAAATTCTTACATTTTTGCTGTTTCAGTTGCTTAACAGATTAATATGCTATCCTTATGAAAACAAATGGATTCAGCAATGTTCAAGTCAGTTTGTTAAGAAATCTTTAAAACTTTCAGCAATTTCGTGTGCTGTTTAATTTGGAATTCAGAAGAAATTTGGATACATTTCAGACAAAGTTCGATTCATCCAATCACTAATGTCTAGTGTTAGTCTCTCTGTCACACAATAATAAAACCATTTATATTAAAGAAACAATTTATCCTTATTGTCTGCATAACAAGAATATAAAGATTTAATCCCCATTTTCCTATAAAGAACATCTCATCACTTCGGCAGAGGTGGGGTGGCTGCACCGAGGACACTGACCCGGCACTGGATTACTGTTAAATTTTGCATAATTTAATTTTTTTTTAAATACTGAGTGGAAGCTATAGAAGAATATTATATTAGCAGTAAATATATTTCTTTTTAACATTTAGCATTTCTTTCATACATTTAGCTGTTAGTAACCTGTGACTTTGTCATTAACCTTGCAATATCCTTGCGATCAAGCTCAGCATTGCGTGATGAACTATATAGGACAGGTTTTACATGATAATGTTTTCTGACCGTGGGTATTATTCGATGCAAAATAGCCTGTCAATTTTAGATTGGGATTGGTTTGGAAATCATTATCAATTTGAGTCTGCAAACATTATCAATGTATATAATGGAGAATTTATCCAAATCAGAATCAAAGAAATCAAAAAAGTGCTGAGTGAGTAGAAGTCAGCATCAAGATGCTCTATAGTGCAGAGCAAGCGGTGGTTCCTGAAGATGATGCATATGGTGGCCTCACTGCACATGGAAGGTGAAGAGACTTAGAATACGTAGCTGTTGAGCTCATGTCTTATGTTGAGAGCCCTTTCAGCTTGAGCGATTGTGTCGTCTGCCCTCTTACTCAGCTCTTTACATTCCTGAAGAACATCATTAAACTGCTTATACGTCTCCTCAATGATGGTACTATGGGCTGGTTTCAGCTCCCAGTATCCTTCTTCTACCCAAGGCTTTACTGACTTTAGCACGTCTATTGTCCCATTACTGACAAACCTCTTCAGTGAGTTATCAATGTCCTTGCAAAGATGGTAGAGGTCACTCCCACAGCCAGTTACCCTCTCCCCATCGACTACTTGAACACTGGGGATGGTGTCTAGCACAGAGTGCCTGTAGGCCCCATTGTTACATAGAGAGTTGCTCAGATTGTGTACAGGATCCCTCAGCCGGATGCTTTCCAGCCTATGTAGGCCCCTCAAGCATTGAAGGTTATCAACGCTGCATAACAGGTTTCCAGCAAGATTTAGAGATTGCAGGTTTTCACAGGATGCCAAGGGTTCCACAGACGATATCCTATTACAGGCCACATTTAGGGCCACCATCAGCTTAAGAGAAGACAACGGACCTAAATGGGTGATGTGATTGTTGGACAGGTCTAGACGTTCAAGGTTTAAGCAGTCTCCAATACACCCCAGTTCATAAAGTCCTATGCCCCGGAGCTTCAGGAAGAGGATAGACTCCAAATCAAACTCTCCTGTTCTTGATTTAAGCATTTGGTGTGTAATACGAGCATTTTCTGCATCGTGTTCTTTGCTGCTCCTGTTCTCCATGATGAAATAAATCCAAAAATTCTTTATACTTTTATTTTTTGAGAGGGTTCTTTATAAAAAGTAAATCTGGTGTACTTTCAATGTGAAATATATTCCTCTTACAGTCTCGGGATCAGAGTACGTTCCTCTTACAGTCTCGGAGTACGTTCCTCTTACAGTCTCGGAGAACGTTCCTCTTACAGTCTCGGAGTACGTTCCTCTTACAGTCTCGGAGTACGTTCCCTCGTACCGTATCGGGGATCAGAATATGTTCCTCTTACAGTATGTGGATTCAGAGTATGTTCTCTTTAGAGTCTTGGAGTATGCCCCACTTGGACAATACAAAGAACACTCGCTCAGAGTAAGCACTCCAGGTTGACAGGTTCTGCTCCCATATTTGCTGAATCCGCACAGTTTGGTGATTCGCTATAGACAGAGAATTTCACAAACATCCTGAAACGAGAGAGAATAACTGTATCTATGGGGAAGATATTTAAACAATGCAGCACTTTCTAATGTTAACAATGAAAATCCCATGATTCTGCTTAGGAGCATCTGTTAGCTCTCACGAGTATAAAGGTTTATTATAACCATTTTTTTTTTTTTAAGATGCCAAAATACCAGAGTATTGCAGTATGCAATGATACCTTTTTTACTGGACTAACAGAATATTTCAAAGACAAGCTTTCGAGAGATTTCCTCTCTTCCTCAGGTCTGAAGCAATACTGACCAATCTGATAGAGTTTAACACTTAAAACAACTGATGGTGTTAAAAAAAAACCAAAAAAAAAAAACCAGACCTGCTTCAGACCTGAGAAAGAGAGGGGAACTCTCAAAAAGCTTGTTTTTTGTAATATTCTGTTAGTCCAATAAAAAAAGGTATCATTGCATACTGCAATACTCTGGTATTTTGGCATCTTGTCTACTATACTAATACGGCTAATCCAGTCTACCTGTTTTTCTAATTGTATTTATACTACCCTATTGGGCACTACTAACCATGTCCACCCTCACTTTGTAATCCCAAATCCTGTAAATAAAGATAAAACTTACCTGGAATCCAGCCCTGGGCGAAGCTCTCCTCAAACATTTCCACATGCCGTCCGATGTCACAGCACAACCATGTAACAAAACCCTACCTTATGCCTGGGAATATCTACTGCTACCCGCCCTTTAAGAGCTAGTCGGATTATAAAGACAGATGGTTTATCCAGCAAAAGACATCAAACTGGATATAATTGAATGTGCTTACCTGTTTCGTGGGGATTATTCGTTAAAACAGTTCGGGACTTTTAAAGCGTTCGCTTTCTTGTGCGACCCAAACGGTATGGACCCAGCATTCACCATACGAATGCAAACCACCGAAGACCGGACCCCCCTGCTACCTAATTATGTGGTAATTTACCTCCCTGATTGGCACATTCAGCTCTTATGGGAAACGCACAAATGCTTTGTTTCAGTTCCTGGGTGGCCGCCATTTCGGGACTTTTACACGTGGTCGCGGCCATCTTAACTCCCAAACAGCGCTGTTTTGCCGTTGAGTGTCTGGAACTAAAAATCGGACACTCGAGTAGGCGAACACCGCTGAGACCTCCATAGCACCGGAGATTCGTGCCAAAACTACCGAACACCCTGCCGTTCGGTAGAAATACTTGGTAACATATGGGGATTATGGCGAACATCGAGTTACTTTACGGATGGCAAACTTTTTCAGGACTTTTAACACGCGAACAAAGACCGACCGCAAGGCCAAAACTCATGTAACTATTTTCGGCCACTTTGCCTGTGCGGTCGGTCAAAACTTTAAAGCTCCATATCTCCCGAACCACTGAACCGAATGAGCTGATTTTTGTATATGTTGGTCTCCCAGAATAGGGCTATAGGTATTTGGGGTACATCCAAAACCTGGGGAAAATGTGTCTTTGTTAATTGGGTTACAGGCTTATCTGAGGGGAGGAGATGTGTGGGATGTACCTTATGTTTTATTGGTTGTTTTGTTAATTATGTGGGTGTCTCCCTTGCATGGGCAGAATCACATAAAGGGGGGTACCTGCCATTAAAATTCAGTTCTTGACCCTTCAAAACGTAGCCTTGTCTCGTTATTGAAAGGGGATATGCAGCTTAAATCACTTAGCTCATTTAAGAACTCTGCCTGACTCCTGCCTTGGATCCAGTGGATGGGAATAAGCAACTCCACTACTACACAGCAACTTGCCGGGAAGGAAAGTACGTCTCCAACGGCTGATACCCTCTTACTATCTGGGTAGCCGTTACAAACCCTCTGCGTGATCCAAGCAAGGGCGACTCATAGAGAAACATTTGTTTGGACAGTTCACTCAGTTTCAGGGTGCCTGTGCACATGGTGCAGATATCTCTGTACGTGCAGGATTTCACGCTGAAACATTGCACATACAGATTGCTCGCACCATGACCACTTCTAAAAGCAGAAGCGGTCATTGAGGTTGGAGTAACCCTGTAACCCTGCAGTGCAGCGCTAGCACAGAGAGCTCTCGGTCAGCTGTAGCGGAGGATGGGAGTGGCATCTGGCAGTTCACAGATACAGAGTCAAACAATTCTAAAACTTACAATAGGGGTAACCAGGCATAATCACTACAGTGCAAGGTAGTGGTGATGGTGCTCAGAGTGTTCCTTTAAGGAAATATATATGATACATACAGTGGAAGTAACAAAGAATAGCAGTGATGTAGAAAGGGATACCCGGAATAGCCTTCCAGTGGAAGCAGTAACAGTGATAGAGAAAGAGTAGTAGATACCTGGAATAGGCTTCCAGTAAGAGCAATAAAAGTGATATAGAAAGGGTAGTAGATACCTGGAATAACCTTCCAGTGGGAGCAGTAACAGTGATATAGAAAGAGTAGTAGATACCTGCAATAGCCTTCCACTGGGAGCAGTAACAGTGATATAGAAAGGGTAGTAGATACCTGGAATAGCCTTCCAGTGGGAGCAGTAACAGTGATATAGAAAGGGTAGTAGATACCTGGAATAGCCTTCCAGTGGGAGCAGTAACAGTGATATAGAAAGGATAGTAGATACCTGGAATAGCCTTCCAGTGGAAGCAGTAACAGTGATATAGAAAGGGTAGTAGATACCTGGAATAGCCTTCCAGCGGGAGCAGTAACAGTGATATAGAAAGGGTAGTAGATACATGGAATAGCCTTCAAGTGGGAGCAGTAACAGTGATATAGAAAGGGCAGTAGATACCTGGAATAGCCTTCCAGTGGGAGCAGTAACAGTGATATAGAAAGGGTAGTAGATACCTGGAATAGCCTTCCAGTAGGAGCAGTAACAGTGATATAGAAAGGGTAGTAGATACCTGGAATAGCCTTCCAGTGGGAGCAGTAACTGTGATATAGAAAGGGTAGTAGGTACCAGGAATAGCCTTCCAGTGGGAGCAGTAACAGTGATATAGAAAGGGTAGTAGATACCTGGAATAGCCTTCCAGTGGGAGCAGTAACAGTGATATAGAAATGGTAGTAGATACCTGGAATAGCCTTCCAGTGTGAGCAGTAACAGTGATATAGAAATGGTAGTAGATACCTGGAATAGCCTCCTAGTGGGAGCATTAACAGTGATATAGAAAGGGTAGTAGATACCTGGAATAGCCTTCCAGTAGGAGCAGTAACAGCAATATAGAAAGGGTAGTAGATACCAGGAATAGCCTTCCAGTGTGAGCAGTAACAGTGATATAGAAATGGTAGTAGATACCTGGAATAGCCTTCCAGTGTGAGCAGTAACAGTGATATAGAAATGGTAGTAGATACCTGGAATAGCCTCCTAGTGGGAGCATTAACAGTGATATAGAAAGGGTAGTAGATACCTGGAATAGCCTTCCAGTGGGAGCAGTAACAGTGATATAGAAAGGGTAGTAGATACATGGAATAGCCTTCCAGTGTGAGCAGTAACAGTGATATAGAAATGGTAGTAGATACCTGGAATAGCCTCCTAGTGGGAGCATTAACAGTGATATAGAAAGGGTAGTAGATACCTGGAATAGCCTTCCAGTGTGAGCAGTAACAGTGATATAGAAATGGTAGTAGATACCTGGAATAGCCTCCTAGTGGGAGCAGTAACAGTGATATAGAAAGGGTAGTAGATACCTGGAATAGCCTTCCAGTGTGAGCAGTAACAGTGATATAGAAATGGTAGTAGATACCTGGAATAGCCTCCTAGTGGGAGCATTAACAGTGATATAGAAAGGGTAGTAGATACCTGGAATAGCCTTCCAGTGGGAGCAGTAACAGTGATATAGAAAGGGTAGTAGATACCCGGAATAGCCTTCCAGTGGGAACAGTAACAGTGATATAGAAAGGGTAGTAGATACATGGAGTAACCTTCCAGTGGGAGCAGTAACAGTGATATAGAAAGGGTAGTAGATACCTGGAATAGCCTTCCAGTGGGAGCAGTAACAGTGATATAGAAATGGTAGTAGATACCTGGGATAGTCTTCCAGTGGGAGCAGTAACAGTGATATAGAAAGGGTAGTAGATACCTGGAATAGCCTTCCAGTGGGAGCAGTAACAGTGATATAGAAAGGGTAGTAGATACATGGAATAGCCTTCCAGTGGGAGCAGTAACAGTGATATAGAAAGGGTAGTAGATACATGGAATAGCCTTCCAGTGGGAGCAGTAACAGTGATATAGAAAGGGTAGTAGATACCTGAAATAGCCTTCCAGTGGGAGCAGTAACAGTGATATAGAAAGGGTAGTAGATACCTGAAATAGCCTCCCAGTGGGAGCAGTAACAGTGATATAGAAAGGGTAGTAGATACCTGGAACAGCTTTCTAGTGGGAGCAGTAACAGTGATATAGAAAGGGTAGTAGATACCTGGAATAGCCTTTCAGTGGGAGCAGTAACAGTGATATAGAAAGGATAGTAGATACCTGGAATAGCCTTCCAGTGGGAGCGGTAACAGTGATATAGAAAGGGTAGTAGATACCTGGAATAGCCTTCCAGTGGGAGCAGTAACAGTGATATAGAAAGGGTAGTAGATATCTGGAATAGCCTTCCAGTGGAAGCAGTAACAGTGATATAGAAAGGGTAGTTGATACCTGGAATAGCCTTCCAGTGGGAGCATTAACAGTGATATAGAAAGGGTAGTAGATACCTGGAATAGCCTTCCAGTAGGAGCAGTAACAGTGATATAGAAAGGGTAGTAGATACCAGGAATAGCCTTCCAGGGGGAGCAGTAACAGTGATATAGAAAGGGTAGTAGATACCTGGAATAGCCTTCCAGTGGGAGCAGTAACAGTGATATAGAAAGGGTAGTAGATACCTGGAATAGCCTTCCAGTGGGATCGGTAACAGAGATATAGAAAGGGTAGTAGATACCTGGAATAGCCTTCCAGTGGGAGCAGTAACAGTGATATAGAAAGGGTAGTAGATACATGGAATAGCCTTCCAGTGGGAGCAGTAACAGTGATATAGAAATGGTAGTAGATACCAGGAATAGCCTTTCAGTGGGAGCAGTAACAGTGATATAGAAAGGGTAGTAGATACCTGGAATAGCCTTCCAGTGGAAGAAGTAACAGTGATATAGAAAGGGTAGTAGATACCTGGAATAGCCTTCCAGTGAGAGCATTAACAGTGATATAGAAAGGGTAGTAGATACCTGGAATAGCCTTCCAGTGGGAGCAGTAACAGTGATATAGAAAGGGTAGTAGATACCTGGAATAGCCTTCCAGTGGGAGCAGTAACAGTGATATGGAAAGGGTAGTAGATACTTGGAATAGCCTTCCAGTGGGAGCAGTAAGAGTGATATAGAAAGGGTAGTAGATACCTGGAATAGCCTTCCAGTGGGAGCAGGAACAGTGATATAGAAATGGTAGTAGATACTTGGAATAGCCTTCCAGTGGGAGCAGTAACAGTGATATAGAAAGGGTAGTAGATACCTGGAATAGCCTTCCAGTGGAGCAGTAACAGTGATATAGAAAGGGTAGTAGATACCTGGAATAGCCTCCAGTGGGAGCAGTAACAGTGATATAGAAAGGGTAGTAGATACCTGGAATAGCCTTCCAGTGGGAGCAGTAACAGTGATATAGAAATGGTAGTAGATACCTGGAATAGCCTCCTAGTGGGAGCATTAACAGTGATATAGAAAGGGTAGTAGATACCTGGAATAGCCTTCCAGTGGGAGCAGTAACAGTGATATAGAAAGGGTAGTAGATACCTGGAATAGCCTTCCAATGGGAGCAGTAACAGTGATATAGAAAGGGTAGTAGATACCTGGAACAGTCTTCCCGTGGGAGCAGTAACAGTTATAGTGAAAGGGTAGTAGATACCTGGAACAGCCTTCCAGTAGAAGCAGTAACAGTGATATAGAAAGGGTAGTAGATACCTGGAATAGCCTTCCAGTGGGAGCAGTAACCGTGATATAGAAAGGGTAGTAGATACATGAAATAGCCTTCCAGTGGGAGCGGTAACAGTGATATAGAAAGGGTAGTAGATACATGGTATGACCTTCCAGTGGGAGCAGTAAAGAGGTAATATATGTATTTTATGGTTGTTCTGAAGAATTAATGTGTCAATTCAGATTGTAATTACTGTTTGTTACTGTTGCTATCTGCACATGTACTGTAACAGCAGGATGAAGTTTCCATGGTAACCATTAGCCCCATTTCCTCGCTCTCCTACCGAGCAGTGCATTGTGGGACAGACTGAGCAGATGCTGTGGCCGTAAAGGCTGATTGCTCACCATGCAGCCATGTTTTCCTGTGTGAGTGAGCAAGGGGTGCCAGTCTGATGGTGATGGGGCTTGTAAAATGGGGGGAACATAGCTCTCCTTCCCCTGTCGGCAGCAGGTGGGGGCTACTTACTAAAGGGGGTGGTGACCTAATTTGATTTCCCCATCCCAACCCCTCCCCCATCGTTTTCAGTAAGGGATAGTAAAATATAACAAGGGGGAACTACTGTCCCCACCCTCCACCCATTGACATTGGGTAACGGCTATTATAATATAACGAGGGGAACTACTGTCCCCACCCTCCACCCATTGGCAGTGGGTAACGGCTATTATAATATAACGAGGGGAACTACTGTCCCCACCCTCCACCCATTGGCAGCTATTATAATATAACGAGGGGGTCCCCACCCTCCACGGCTATTATAATATAACGAGGGGAACTACTGTCCCCACCCTCCACCCATTGGCAGTGGGTAACGGCTATTATAATATAACGAGGGGAACTACTGTCCCCACCCTCCACCCATTGGCAGTGGGTAAGGGCTATTATAATATAACGAGGGGAACTACTGTCCCCACCCTCCACCCATTGGCAGTGGTTAAGGGCTATTATAATATAACGAGGGGTAACTACTGTCCCCACCCTCCACCAATTGGCAGTGGGTAAGGGCTATTATAATATAACATGGGGAACTACTGTCCCCACCCTCCACCCATTGGCAGTGGGTAAGGGCTATTATAATATAACGAGGGGAACTACTGTCCTCACCCTCCACTCATTAGCAGTGGGTAAGGGATATTATAATATAACGAGGGGAACTACTGTCCCCACCCTCCACCCATTGGCAGTGGGTAACGGCTATTATAATATAACGAGGGGAACTACTGTCCCCACCCTCCACCCATTGGCAGTGGGTAACGGCTATTATAATATAACGAGGGGAACTACTGTCCCCACCCTCCACCCATTGGCAGTGGGTAACGGCTATTATAATATAACGAGGGGAACTACTGTCCCCACCCTCCACCCATTGGCAGTGGGTAAGGGATATTATAATATAACGAGGGGAACTACTGTCCCCACCCTCCACCCATTGGCAGTGGGTAAGGGCTATTATAATATAACGAGGGGAACTACTGTCCTCACCCTCCACTCATTAGCAGTGGGTAAGGGCTAGTAAAATATAACAAGGGGGAACTACTGTCCCCACCCTCCACTGATTGGCAGTGGGTAAGGGCTATTATAATATAACGAGGGGTAACTACTGTCCCCACCCTCCACCCATTGGCAGTGGGTAAGGGATATTATAATATAACGAGGGGAACTACTGTCCCCACCCTCCACCTATAAACATAATAATAGTGTGTGTTTGTGTGCCGATATATGGTGTGTGCTTACTGTTTATGTATTTCACCGTGAACATGTGTTACTTTCTGTGTATGGTTGTGTAATGTTATTGTGTAAATAAGTGTGTAATATTTTACTGTGGTCCATGTTTATGAATGTGTAGCAGTGTCTGTAGTGTATGTGTATAATTAGATTGCAGTATATGTGAATGACTGTGCTGTGTGTATAATTATATTGCAGTATATGTGAATGATTGTGTTGTAGTGTGTAAGAATGTGTATGGCGTCAGTATACGTGAATGATTGTGTTGTAATATGTGTAGGAATGTGTATGATTTTATTGTTGGTAAATGACTGTATTGTGTGTATAATTATATTGCAGTACGTTTGAATGATTGTGTTGTAGTGTGTGTGGTGTCAGTATATGTGAATGATTGTGTTGTAGTGTGTAGGAATGTGTGTGGTTCAGTATATGTGAATGATTGTGTTGTTGTGTGTGTAGGAATGCGTATGGCGTTATTGTTGGTGAATGGCTGTTGTGTGTATAATTATATTGCAGTATATGTGAATGATTGTGTTGCAATGTGTGAGAATGTGTGTGGTGTCAGTATATGTGAATGATTGTGTTGCAGTGTATGTAGGAATGTGTATGGTGTTGTTGTTTGCAGTATGGATCCCCCCTTTCCCTACTCACAGCTCTCTGGATGCCATGGCTGGGTGATGGAGTAAGTCCTGGGCTCCCTCCTCCTTCTATCTCCATCACAAGCTACGCAGCAAGTTAACTCATTCACTGCCTGGCAGAGCACACAGCGTGAGGCAATGGGAGGATAGCATTCAGCAGACTGGGAATCAATTGGGTTAAGTCAGAGTAACCCTTTCAGTAGTGATTGTAATGTTTGCTGCAGAAAAAGCATCTGGATGCATCGTCAGGGACACGGCCTCATTCTATATAATATTATTATTTATATTATTACAGGTCTGGGATAGAGACCCAGTGAGTATCATCAGGGACCGGTATCAGGCCTCATTCTATATAATATTATTATTTATATTACAGGTCTGGGATAGAGAATCAGTGAGTATCAATAGGGACCAGTACCAGGCCTCATTCTATATAATAATATGATGATTATTATTATTATTACAGAAGGTCTGGGATAGAGAACCAGTGAGTATCATCATGGACCGGTACCAGGCCTCGTTCTATATAATATAATTATTCTTATTTATAATACAAAAGGTCTGGGATAGAGAACCAGTGAATTTTATAAGGAACCGGCACCAGGCCTCATTCTATATAATATTATTATTTATATTACACAATACTTGGTTAAGCCTCAGTGCATTCCTCCCCCCTCCAGTTCCACTCACCATGCAGCAGTGGAGGGGTTAATGGTCCAGTGCCACTCACCATGCAGCAGTGGAGGGGTTAAGGGCCCAGTACCACTCACCATGCAGCAGTGAAGGGGTTAAGGACCCAGTGCCACTCACCATGCAGCAGTGGAGGGGTTAAGGGCCCAGTGCCACTCACCATGCAGCAGTGGAGGGGTTAAGGGCCCAGTGCCACTCACCATGCAGCAGTGGAGGGGTTAATGGTCCAGTTCCACTCACCATGCAGCAGTGGAGGGGTTAAGGCCCAGTACCACTCACCATGCAGCAGTGAAGGGGTTAATGGTCCAGTTCCACTCACCATGCAGCAGTGAAGGGGTTAATGGTCCAGTTCCACTCACCATGCAGCAGTGGAGGGGTTAAGACCCAGTACCACTCACCATGCAGCAGTGGAGGGGTTAAGGGCCCAGTACCACTCACCATGCAGCAGTGGAGGGGTTAAGGGCCCAGTACCACTCACCATGCAGCAGTGAAGGGGTTAAGGACCCAGTGCCACTCACCATGCTCCTATAGAGTGCAGGAGACCCTCTCCCTGGATTGCAGACTGACACAGAGTATCACATGGAGTACAGCTGTAGGGGGCGGGGCTAAGAATGGAAACACAAAGTCACCATGGTGATATCAAACTCACAGTAATTAAAGGGACCGCATGCTTTCAGCATGTTACACAATACACAGCATACAGCAGGTTACCAGCTCCAACATGTTTTCCGGTCGCAAATGTCTACTCTGCGGTATGTAGCAATCACTCTTTCTTTAACCCCTTAAGGACAGAGACAATTGTACAAGTTCTAATCAAAACAAATCCTGGAATTTGACGATCTGTCTGTGCAACCATAATTCACCTCTTTCATATTAAGTGCCCCCACACTATATATATATATATATTATAATTTTGTTGAGCAGAAACAAAGATTAGCAAGACACCCCAGGTAGTGACCACAGACCACTTCTCAGTTCCTATGATTCCTGGCTGATGTTTTGGTCACTTTTGAATGCTGGC